ACTCTTAATAATCGTTCTGCTAGTTATGTTTATGTTTGTGGAAGGACGAGATGGATTTAACTCTCAATCCGCCATAGTGGGAGACGCTAACACGTAAATAAGAATTTAACCAAAATACTTAGTACCTGAGTGCATGCTTGCGTGCGTGCATACGTGCATACTTGCAAGTGTGCACGCGTGTGACGCTGTGTGTGTGTGTGTGTGTGTGTGTGTGTGTGTGTGCGTGCGTGATTGCGTGCGTGCGTGCGTGCGTGCGTGTGTGTGAACTATACCTTTATCTATTACTTTATAAATTTTTGTCCAATTTTTACCTATTATAATTATGTATGTTATTTATTTATACAAGTACTACAATAAGTATATATAAATAACTTCAGTTACAGTAAATTACGCAAGGCAAAGCTAAAGGCTAAAAAGGAGCCACCACGCCCTGTATTGCATGGGTAAGAAAATACAGTGTTACTATAGAAATTTTATTGTTATACTTCTAATTTGGGAACTTTTACTCCTGGTATCACTGTTTCTTTACCCTAAACCCATGTATTTAGAGTAGATAGTATTTAAGGTGAAAAAGATGACAGAAATGTACGTTAAAAGATTTAAATATTCAGGCATTAGGAGTTTTAAAATTTTAAGTAGTTGTGTTTCGGTCTGTGCGACCAAGGTCTGTCTGTCTGTTACTGCTAACGATTACCTTTTAACATAGATTTCTTGTCATTTGAATTATCCATAAACCTGTCTGAAAATGGCGATAGAACTTAAATTATCAATTTTAGAAAATGGTTACTAGTTTGTTGTTTTTGTCTGTGTTAAAAAATGATAAATTTCGGTAAAGAAAATTGTTTGAACTGTTCGCTACACAAATTAAAGATTTATGTTTATGTCTTTGATATTTCTAGATAGACTGTCAATGCTATAAAAGTATTGAAAATAATAGTGTCCTCGATTGCACGATTTGCACGCACACCGCCGTAAATTTGCACCCACACTAGCGTAGATTAGATTGCACTCAGTTTTAGTTGTCCTTGTTTTGTAGTGAGACACTCCATCTAAACTAGACAGAATTTGAATAAGACGTGCGTGGTGCGTTTCCGTGTGGTGACGGATTAAGAATACAGAGTGTCACCACCCCTATTCATCCCGTGGGTGTCGTAAGAGCCGACTAAGGGAAAAAACTAAGCAGGACAACAGCACTGCAGAGAGAAGGAAAACTTGACACAAACCCTTTACCAACCCGTCTGGCCACCGTGGTATAGTAGGCCAAAACCTCCTTTCTCAGGAGAGGCTTATGTCCAGCAGTGGACTATTAAAGGCTGTTGATGATGATGATGTGCGTGGTGTTCTCGCAAATCAGCTCTTAGAGAGTAAATATACTCAGAGTAAATTTACTCACTCCATGAAATCTACGACATAAGGCCTTATACCATATACCATGTGCTTTACAAATTAGTTAACGGTGACTTAGACTGTCCCATTCTTATTGAGAAAATAAATATAAATGCTCCCTCAAGGTCTCTCCGTGCCAATAAATACGCTCCTTTTTCTATTAAATCTTCTAAAACCAACTTGGGTCAGAACGCTACTATAAATAGACTACAAAGCCAGTATAACAAGCTGACGAAAAATCGTGAAATTGATGTAGACATCTTCTCAAACAGTCTTCCAAAATTTAAGAGCAAAGTTATTGCGTCATTTAGACTTTACCACCACCACTTTAAATGCATCACTGTTTCTAATTAATTTCGATGATGTTCTGTATGTTTCGTATATTATTATAGATATTGCATTGTATAATCTTAGATGCAACTGTCCCTTACCATGCCGTGGCAACTTGTAAGTAAGACAACACTCAGAAAATAAGTGTAAAACATGTTTGTAAATTATGTATTAGTATGTTTTGTAAGTTGTCCTATATAAATAAATAAAAAAAAAAAAAAAAAAAAAAATACCTATCTATATCATTTAACTATCCGTATCATTTAAATGTTAAGGTTTGAAAACATCTCAATCTGCTCATTGCTGTAGGATCTTCATTAAATAAGATGTTTTATTAAAAAAAAACAAGAAAAAATATTTCAACTTCGACTCTTTCTTCTCAGTCCTTTCAACTGGACTATTTGTTTGTGGGAATATAAGTATGCAGTGTACTCTTAAGATATGAATGGAGTCCTTAACGGGTCCGTTCCGCTTGCGGTGGATACCGGACTTAACAGTTAAAAAAAATATAAAAAATAATGAGAACCCCCGTACCAAAAGATTGTGTGTATGCCACTACCCATACCCATAACATAACAGTAACCATACTACTTTTTATTCTTTGCTACATATATTAGTGTGTGTACTTACCTATTAAAGGCGAATTGTCCAAAATGTCATATGTGTATTTATTAATTTGCTTTTTATTTAAGTTAATTAGTAAGTGGGAGACAATATTTCACCGTATGCTTTACGAGTAAAATAGATGTAGTAAGCTCTTTTGGCTTTCAGTATCATTAAAAGCGTCACTGCATTAGGGAACAGGTTACTACATAAGTCTCAGTTTTATGTTTATTTTCTTTTTATGAAATGAAGTCGGTTGTTTAAACAAGAAATAATTGTAACGATTCCAAAACAGACTCGTAAAGCATGATACATTTTGAATTCATATTATTCAATTTATTTTAACCATACAAAACTAGTCCGTGTAGTGAGGGATTAAGAATACGGAATGTCACCACCCCTATTTATCCTGTGGGTGTCGTAAGAGCCGACTAAGGGATCAAATTACGCAAGACAACAGCACTGCAAAGAGAAGGAAAACTTGAAACCAACCCTGTACCAACCCGTCTGGCCAGCGTGGTATAGTAGGCCAAAACTTCCTTTCTTAGGAGAGGCCTATGTCCAGCAGTGGACTGTTATAGGCTGTTGATGTGTGTGTGTGATACAAATCTATATTTTATAGCATCCCATTATTTAACTATAGAAGATAAACTATAGGTACATAACATCCCTCAAATGATTATGTGATGAGCATGATTATTTGTTGTATCGGACGTAATTTTTTAATAATATTCATGGATTTAGGTAAATATAAATAAGTTTAGTCTGGTTCAGTAACCAAAAGTGCTGGTTCTACCTAGTTTGGGTTCAGACCTCCGTGTATAAGGTGTCATAAATCTAATCTCTAATTTTAATTGCTTTGTGACGATGTAAACCTACGGCCTTTGTAAATTCAAGACACGTGTAAAACGAAAAAGATCAAATCAAAGTTTATTTGCTATGAATGTACAGGTAAATTAGCTTAGAGAAATTTTTGCGGTTGTAGTAGTGTATAGTGTATGGTAGCGTAAACTGATTTATTCTGGTTTTGTGCGTGTTTCCACTTTCCACTATCAAGTGACGATTTTTGCTTTAGATTGAAATATCTCGGAAACGGTGCGTCCTAGGCCAAAAATAACAAAAATTTTGACCCCCGTGGACCCCCCGGAGTTTAAAAAACCTAGATGAAAGGAAAAAACAAATTACCTATCAACATAAAAAATGAAACGAAGACTACACTATTCATTAAAAAACTAAAAGCATTCTTAATTACAAAATGTTTCTATTCTGTTAAAGAATACATTGAGGAAAAAAACACTTAACAAACTACATTTCTTATTACACGGAAAACAGAAAGCATATACCTAAGTACAAATCATAAAAAGAAAAATCGGTCGTGATGCTCGGAAATGCTAGGGACAGTAGGAAAATGTGTATATGTATTAGTGATGTAGAATGTCGGGTGCCTTCGTATTTTTGCATGCTTTATTTGATTGTTATACTGTACTATTAAGTCACTTAATTTGTATTGTTCAAAAAATGCTTGTACTTGTGTAACAATTTATTCTTCTGCGTTCTCTCTCAAATTTTTGCAATGCCTGGAGAAGGCTTCTGAGTTGGGACTACTACATATAATATTATAAGATCATTGATGTACACTTGGTTGGCAAATAAAGATTTGATTTGATTTGATTTGAAAAAAAAATTTAAATATCGGTCTCTCCTCTTTGAAGTTTCACTTCTATCGTGTGTGAATCGCACACACACCTTTTTTTTTATAAAGTCCAAACCTTTTTCTTTAAAATAAAAACTTGTTTTTATTGAAAACAAAAATCAGAGTGTTGCTAGGGATAAGTATAAAATTAAATAGTAATGTTAGGATATCGAAACATTTTTGTATAGGCCAGAACGATATAGTGGAAACGCGCTCTAAGATCTGAGTAATATACACACCACTACATATGCAAAAATTTCTCGAGACTAATTTCACTGTAGGTACATCAAATTACAGATGGAATAGTTTTCATCTGGAGGTGTCTTAAATCTAATTTCTTATTTTAATTGCTTTGTGATTATTTAAACCTACGGCTATTGTGAGTTCAAGACACGTGTAAAATGAAAAAGATTGAAACACGTATGTGTATGAGCAACTCTATATGGATTATCGTTTACTAAGAATTTAATGATAATGATTAAATTGATATAACATGATTTTTTGAAGTACAAACATTGAAATAGTTTTCATTTTTTACTTATCTGTCCGTAGTTATCTTTTAAGTATTTCCACTGGTTTTGTTTTAATCTATTTGGTGCAAAGTAGTCAGTTTTCTAAGTATGATATACATATTTGTTTTGTGCATCGTTTCGGCTTAATAATCTAACACCACTTATTCATAAGATGGCGCCATGTCTCATGCTTTAACGTAACATGTATTTTTAATAATAAGTGGCGTTTGAGAATTAGCCAATAGTGACGAAATTGGGTTTTCAAAACTTTTTGTCTTGAATTTATTCTGTAATTTATTTTTCCTTATGTTGTAAGTTGATCGTTAGAAATTTATGCTATTGACTATACATGCATGGTGTAACTTATAATTCGAATTATGCATGCATGCATTTCAGTAAGTGAGTTCGTTGCGTAAGTATGAGCATGTGATTATGTAATTATTAATAGTTTTATGTTATTTTTTTTTTCTTTTCAGGCCGTCTGTGCTTAAGTAAGTAGAGAGTAGTAAGTAATGAGTTTGTGTTTTTATATATTGCATGTTGTATGTGTCTTTATAACGTCTGCATGAACGGGACTTTTAAAACTTTCCTTTGTCTGTCTGTCTGCTTGCCTCTCTGTTTATCTGTCCGTTGGTATATAAAATACTAGCTGTACCTTGCCAAGCTTTCCTGTGGCGCATTGTGGTCTAAACAAAAACTTTGAAGTGGGTTGTGCATCGTGTCAAAATTTTAACTCAATCGGTGCAGACCTTTTTGAGTCTTACAGCGTACACACAACCAACTTAACATTTTGTATACAAATATGTATATTTCAATAAATGTAGTAAATGCTATAAAATGACGTTTCAAACTGATAAAACATAATATTAGTACTCGTATATCATTAAACAGACGTTAGAAAAGGTGAAAAAGACATTTTAAATTGTGTACTCCGTAGCTTACTAGACCAACCCGACTGGCCAGCGTGGTATAGTAGGCCAAAGCCTCCTTTCTAAGGAGAGGCCTATGTCCAGCAGTGGACTGTTAAAGGCTGTTGATGACGATGATGACTCCGTAAGAGGATCCTGCCGTACTCATTTAAAGTCCACGTAATTAATGGATGCTTCCTAAAATATTGTTTAGTAGTGTCAGTTGGAATTAAAGGATCCTACTAATTTGTATGAGCACAAATGTCATACTAGTTGTACCTATGGTCAGTCCTTAAAATGATAATGCGACTGTTTTTTTATAGTGCGTATAGACAATATTTTTCAGTATTTTTTAATTTAACTTTAATCTATAATCAAAGGTGCCGAATTTAATGCGTAGCAGTTTCTAAGAGTACGCAAATATACAATTAGACAAAACTAGAGAAATATGTACTCATAGTCTCCAACATTAATTAATATCTGGAAATAGAAATGTCTGCACCATTAATTAATATCTGGAAATAGAAATGTCTGCACCATTAATTAATATCTGGAAATAGAAATGTCTGCACCATTAATTAATATCTGGAAATAGAAATGTCTGCACCATTAATTAATATCTGGAAATAGAAATGTCTCCACCATTAATTAATATCTGGAAATAGAAATGTCTCCACCATTAATTAATATCTGGAAATAGAAATGTCTGCACCATTAATTAATATCTGGAAATAGAAATGTCTGCACCATTAATTAATATCTGGAAATATAAATGTCTCTACCATTAATTAATATCTGGAAATAGAAATGTCTCCACCATTAATTAATATCTGGAAATAGAAATGTCTCCACCATTAATTAATATCTGGAAATAGAAATGTCTGCACCATTAATTAATATCTAGAAATTTATTTATATTGCGGGAGCTAGGACTAATAAAATATTGAATTAATAGTAAAATTTAGTGGTTAGGCTATTAGCGCAGATAATAATATTATAAAAACTTCATAAATCGATTTTTAAGGGCTTCCCTAGAAAAAAATAGAAATGTATCTCCTAAGATTTAACCACACAAGTCTACAACACCATATCAAAGTGGAACACACTGTTTATCAATGGAAATGAAAATTTTCAATGAATAAATGCAAATTTACAGTAAATAGATGCAAATTTGCGATAAACAATTCTAAATTTTAAACCGCACGCTTTAACTAATGGTTCGAGTGGTGGCACAAATTGTGGTGACCCACGTGGTATTATTGGTAATATTAGTTTCTTATGTAAATCCAGGAACACTTTGTGTTTGTTGTTTAAATGTTTGTAAAGTCATTTTCCACTGGAATCATTCTTCATCAGGAGTTTCTAAGAGTAAAAGTCATTGGATTGCGCGATCGTGAACCGGTGTTGCAGACTCTCTGCTGGACCTGCAGCATAATGCCCATGTATGTGCCATGTTAGGTACCGGTTCATGTCATTGTGTTTCGTTGTGTTTTTATTTTTCATTTACTAACATAGTTATAAGTCAAATTGTTACTAACACTATGAGTCTTGTTACTCGATGAGAAATGAATAAATAAATAAAAATAATAATTAACAAATACTAATTAGCAATAAATACGATAAAAATATCCATATATTTATTAAAAAAGCAAGTCACACACGTGTGACTCCTGAAGGTGTACATTAGCGACGGTAGTCAATGGACTATCGAGTTTATGTGCCGTAAAAAAAATAAAACCGCTTCCACTAATCATCGCTTTTTATATTAAAACCGCATTATATTCATTAATTGTTAATCATTTTATGTACATGCAAAATTTAACATGCCATATATATTTTTTAATCACTTTATTTATAATAATAATAATATATTCTACCACATACACACAACGCCATCTAGTCCCAAACTAAGCAGAGCTTGTACTATGGGTACTAGACAACTGATATAAATACATATATACTTTTTTTTGTAAATACATACATATTATACATAAAAACAACCAGACCAAATCATACATTAAAGGTTCATGCACACAAATGTTTGACTTGAGCGGTATTTGAACCCGCGACCTTTACTTTAGCAGTCCGCGACACAAACCACTACGCCATCCGGTCGTCAAAAAGATCCTCTGTGATACAGAATTGCTTCTTACTTTTTTTTTTGTAAATACATACAATACATACATATTATACATAGAAATTAAAATTAAATTAATTAAATAAATTTATTAGAAGAAATAAGGGTTTTTAGTACTTTTCTTCTTCTCATCAAATGTGTCAAAGATATGTTTTCGAAGTTAGAGAGGTCGTACTTTCCACCAATAGTTAGTTCCAGATATAGATTTGCTACCTAACCTTTTTGAGCTATTTGCTTAAATGCTTCGGTGGTGCAGTGGTAACGTATACGACTGCTGTGCTAAGGTCTCGGGTTCGATTCCCGGGTCGGATCAAATGAGTAAGTATTAAGTGAATAAGGATTCTATCAGTCAATCTAGCTTACATAGTACAAGCTCTGTTTAGTTTGAATATGGCGTTTTGTGTCAGATATGATAATTAATCTGAAGAATACAAATGTAGGGACACACATATGAGTCCTTGATACTTATTAAAAAAAAATACAAATAATACGTATTGTTAATATAACCTTTTTACATCTTCTGAATTTCCCAGTACTTCGTGAAGTGATCTTCCTTTAGAGGAGAAGTATGCAAGTGACAAGAAAAAGAGCGAATCGTTTTTCTTGTTACTTGCTTCCCCCTATATACCTATATTATCCTTCGACATCCGTGGGTAAGGTATCAGAATTGCAATCAAGTATTTGCAGGTTCGATCTCCTGTACGTGTGCAAATACCCCCAGGCTGTCCACTGAGACCCACTGAGATATCGAACCGACTTAAATCACACGACGGTATACGGTGGCTAAAATAGGATGAATTCGGGTACCATCTGGACGTCAACCAACACCTAACAAAAGCATTTAAGTTTAACTGAAGGAGTTACGAAGAACCTTTAGTCATGAGAGGGATATGCTTCGGCAAATAAGAGCCGGCGCATTCGGAGAACTCAGCCTCACAGAAAACAATTCTATCGTTGCTGTTCGTCTAGTGCGTGAAGTTACTAGAGGATCAATCTCTCCCTTCTTCCCAATCCATGAGGGGGGCAGCCAACTCCAACTCCAAGAGTGGCAACGCACGTGTTTGTCTTAAGTTGCAGAAGTTCATAGGCGATCTTAGTCACTACGACCAGGGTCTCAATTCTGTCACTGTCATTCCATTGACACGTTATTGAGATGCCAGACGCCATTGACATCGGTCAAAATATCAGTATTCTACTAACATAAATTCACAGTGTCAATAGACTGTCGATATAGTAATATAGGTCATTAATGGCGATATCAACAACATCGACATACCTGAAAAATTCAATATACACACACATACATACACAAATTTAAAATGTACCGTTTACCAAACTGTTACAAAGACATCACACAAGTCATTCTTCACAGGCCTTACATAGTCAGTAAATAGTAAATCCATCGACAGTCTATTGATATAAAGTTAAAATAGCAGAATTAAAACCCAGGTGACCTGTCTGCTTGTTACCCTAATTAATTAAAAACCGGTTTTAATATTGTCTTGTGTTTTATCTAGGTATATAGAAAGTACTCTCGCAGAGGCCTTGAAGCAGGACAAAGGCACTGGGTGCAATATCCCTCAGCTGGATCCTTTCGCCAAAGAAGTGACGCAGTTTGACAAGATACTACCCGACGTTAAGTGCAAAGGGAAGGATTGGGTAAAATGTTATGTAAGTATATAAATGATGTCATCAATCATCAACAGCCTATACTAGTCCACTGCTGGACATAGGCCTCTCCTTACAAAAGAGGTTTTGGCCTACTATACCACGCTGGCCAGACGGGTTGGTATAGGGTTTGTTTCAAGTTTTCCTTCTCTTTGCAGTGCTGTTGTCCTGCTTAGTTTGCTCCCTTAGTCGGCTCTTACGACACCCACGGGATGAATTGGGGTGGTGACAATTTGTATTCTTAATCCGTCACCACCACACCGGATAAGTATAACCGTACAACATATTATAATAAACTATATATATATATATATATATACTAGCTATTGCCCATCGGCTCCGCCCGTGTAAATGTCGGTTATCGCGGTAAAAAGTAGCATATGTCTTTCCTCAAGAATCAAAGTATCTTCATACCAAATTTCATCTAAATCGGTTTAGCGGTTATAGATTCCCTATACAAACTTCCACCTTTACCTCCTTAAAAGATGATTTCTGGGATAGAAACTACCCTATGTCCTTGCTGGGGACTTGGACGATCTGTGTACCAAACTTCATCTAAATCGGTTTAGCGGTTTAAGCTTGAAGAGGTAACAAACAGAAAGACAGACACACTTATGCATTTATAATATTAGTATGGATTACGGATATTACTGACACGGATGGATTGTACTTGGGTTGTGAAAGCCTGATGGCAGTCGCTTTACGTAAAAAATCGAAGTTCGGCCTTATCGTAGAAGACTTAAAGCCGACTCCAATCTAGTTTGGGAAAAAGACTCGGAGGAAGAAAGACTAACACAGATGGATTGGAGAGTGTAAGCGATAGCTGGGGCAGACCAACCCTGCAATTTGAACTAGCTGCTGGCAAACAGTCCTGGGCCTCAATTCTGCTATTTTATGTTTACGCCAAGCCTTTACTTCACTTCACTTTAACAACTAAAGAAAAGCTTAACAATTGTTTTCTATGAGGCCCGGATCTATGTGGCTATTCAATTTGAAGTAACTGAGAAAATATTTACGGTCAGTAGAAGGCCTGGCCTTCAATTCTGCTATTTTATGTTCACGCCAAGCCACTGTCATACCACTGACACGCTAATGAGATGCCATCGAGTGGCCATTGGCATCGGTATAAATATCGGTAGTCTACACTAACTCAGTGTCTTTACAGTGGCGATGGAATGGCAGGCTTATAATTTGAAAATATATTACGTTTTTTTTGAGGAAAAGATTTATTTATTTTTCCAGCCACTTCTACTGACCGTAAATATTTTCTCAGTTATTTCAAGTTGGATAGCCACACAGACCCGGATCTCATAGAAAACAACTGTTAAGCTATTCTTAAGTTGTTAATGTGAAAACTTTTTTAGGCGCGTTGGGCTTTTTTGAACCACAAACAAAAGAATGTATTTTTAGAGATGGGAAAGAACTATTACGAGGTTTGGACTCCGGTAACCTCACTTACTCAGTGAAAAACAATGATTATAGCAGGGTTTTTTTTTGTTTTTTTTCGATTCTAAAAGTGCCGACATGATAAATATCTATATATTATATTATATATGATTATATTATAGATAGTTGTATTTTCAATGTATTTCAACCCAAACTTAACTCATGTAAACGGGGCCAATACATGTAGATACTTATATACAGAGGTGTCGGTAACGGTAACAGAGTCGAGAGTTCAATAGTTTTTCCCATCTCAAAAAATATATTCTTTTGTTTGTTGTTTAAAAATGCCCAACGCGCCTAAAGAAGTTTTCACTTCAAAAAACAATACACATTTGAAACCTAACCAACAACTTTTATATAACACTTCAAACTGTATTGTCATAAAAATTCAACGAGAGCGTTACACCATTGTTTTAAGACATCCGAGATGTTAGGGTATTATATACGTGAACGTGATTGCGCTACGCTAGACAAACTGGTAAATGTTATTAGTTACGGTAGCCAGCCTTGAATTAGCAAGCTGCATTTTCTTATTACATTGGGGCACTTTCTAAAAGTCTGATAATAAAATAAAATATAGTTACTAGTCTCCTGTCTGAACCAGTTCATTGAGACGTAAACGTTATTATCTATAAGTGTCCTGTCGCGATCAACTCTTTGCCGGGTTTAGTTTAGGTTATATTTAAAACCCATTAGAGCTTTTAACCCAGAGTCGGTGCCCGCGCTTTTCGGGCAGACACTAGGAGTAGTTTGGTTGACTTAATAAAAGCTGCATGAAGCGGCATGAAGATGACTGCACGAATGGCGTAGTGGTTTAAGCGGTCGCCACGCCGCTTCCTACTACGCTGAGTGTTGTGGGTCCGATCCCCATATGGGACGACAGTTTGTGTGATCCACAAATTGTTAATCTGAATCTGGGTGTTCTTTGTTTCCGTTTTATGTGTGTTTGTAAAGTCCCCCGCGATACAGGATATATTCCTAACTGGCTGAGACCCGCGGTGTTACCCGCGTTTGTTGTTATAACCGCGGGCAACGCCGCGGGGCGAAGCTAGTCTAAAAAAGTAGCCTAAGTTACTCCTTATGTCATCAGCTATCTGCTAGTGAAAGTCCCGTCGAAATCGGTCCAGCCGTTCCAGAGATTACCCGGAACAAACAGACGGACAGACAGACAAAAATTATAAAAAATGTTATTTTGGCATATGTACCGTGTAAACATACATATGCATTTGGTAAAAAGCGGTTATTTTAATATTACAAACAGACACTCCAATTTTATTTATTTGTATAGATGCGGGAGACAACTCTTCGGTGCGGCTTTTTTTATATAAAAAGACAACTTTTTATAAAAAAAAGCTATTCCCGGCTCCCTTCTATTATAGGCGCAGTATATATAGCACACCGTATAGTTTTAATCGGTTTGATTCCGACACCCTCCCTGTGAACCCGCTGGGGGTGATAGGCCGACAGGGTTTCTACACGTACAATATATCTATACCCGGCAATTATATTGGATTCAACGAACCGTCCTTGTACCAATTTTATTTTACCTGTTGCTGGTGTCTGCTGCAATCAATAGCGAACTACAACACTACCTGACTAAGCCTTGCAATTATGGACATGGAATTGTTGAGGTGCCTTAACCCAAACTTGTACATGTCAAGTGATGTATGGTGTTCAAAGAATGGCTATGCACTTGCGATTCTTGTGGTGAGTGGCCGGTGTCCAAGTTCAGGGCCAGTCAGTATCTATCAGGTGACCCGTCTGATCAATAATAAACAAGCAGCAAATTATGAAGTTCGATGCCTTATGGTATAAGTAGCTTCGAAAAAATAACGGCTGCACGGATGGCGTAGTGGTTTAAGCGGTTACCACGCCGTTTCCTACTACGCTGACTGTTGTGGGTTCGATCCCCACATGGGATGACACTTTGTGTGATCTACAAATTGTTGTTCTGAGTGTGGGTATTCAGAGTCCGTTTTATGTATGTTTGTGAAGTCCCCCGCGACATATGATATATTCCTAATGCGGTAGTTGTCCTTTTAAAAAGAAAAATCTATATCTTGACATCATCTCTCTCATCATCATCCATCTTACACACGTCACACTTATATATTTCGAAATACATACACAGAACTTAACTGAAAACTTTGGTAGACATGATTTTGCCGAAAAGAAATTTCAACTTAAAATTTTGCTTTAATATTTCAGCACTCAGAATGCAAAGTAGTACCAGAGATTCTTGCTACGACAAAGGATATCTCTTGTTCATACTACGACATCATATACGAGAGTGACATGGTGCACCACTTGGGTCCTGCAACTCTTATTCTTAACGACGATACGTATGTCTTGACGAAAAGTGATCATGTCAAGATATCGTGTACTGGCACCCAAAGTTCCAGGTAAGCCTGCTGAAAATGTATAAATCATCATCAACCGCCTGTAATTGTCCACTACTGAACATAGGCCTTTCCCTAGAGAGGGGAGTTTGGTCTACTTTACCACGCTGGTCTTTTGGCCAGCGTATGTCATTGTGAAAATATATCGTGTACTGGCACCCAAAGTTCCAGGTAAGCCTGCTAAAAATGTACAAATGATCATCATCAACAGCCTTTAACAGTCCACTACTGGACAAACGCCTCTCCTTAGAAAGAAGCTTTCGGCCTACTATACCACGTTGACCAGACAGGTTGGTACGACTATAGGGTTTCTTTCTAGTTTTCCTTCTCTTTGCAGTGCTGTTGTCCTTCGTAGTTTGTTCAATTAATCCGCTCTTACGACACCCACGAGATGGTAAGGGGCTGTGACACTCCGTATCCTTAATCGACAATCAACATAACATATGACATCGCAAATGGTTTCGGCTTTAATGGCTGAGCTGCCTGATGCCAACCTTCCTTGGTAGTTGTTTTCAGACTATGTAATAAATAAAGCACCTACTGATACTGAAGGAGTTTACAGACAGGAGTCAAAAACCCGTCAAATGTGTAACATTGAAATTATTTAGTAGAAATAATGAGTGCATAGCATGGCGACGTAAGTCGTGGCGACGCGTAGCCACGCCAATAGCCCATCTGACCACACGCATTAGATGTTTCACATAAAAAATGAATAATAGATAATAACGTACATACCTACATCAGTCTATAAGTGCCTGCTTCTAAATGGTGAAGAAATCTGCCAAACAAGCTTTAGGTCAAAAATCATCAGGTATTTTTATTTAATTTTATTAGACGGGCCTGTTGGTCTAGTGGTTAGTGGCCCTGACTGCTAAGCCGGGTGGTCGTGGGTTCGATTCCCACCCAGGACAAATATTGTGTGATGAGCACGGTCATTTGTTCTGTGTCTGGGTGTAATTTATCAATAATATGTATGTATTTAAAACTATATAAGTATGTTTATCAGCAGTCTGGTTACCATAGCACAGGCTCTGCCTAGTTTGGGATCAGACGGCCGTGTGTGAGATGTGTGAGGTTATTATTATTATTATTAAATTTCTTCCAGCGTCCTCAGTTCCAAATGGATTGGTTACGCTACCGGCTTTCGTACAACGGTTGAGAGGAAACCATTGCTACCAGAAAGAGAAGATGCCCTCAACGTTCTCATATTTGGCTTCGACTCTACTTCCAAGAACGGTTTTATACGACGGATGCCCAAGAGTTATAAGTACCTTACTGAGGAAATGAAGGCCACCATTTTGAATGGGTAAGCATATCTGGTTTGTTATGTTTCTATTAGAAATGAGTTTCTTCTCGCTCGTTTCACTGGGAGCGAGACCGAAAAACGTGTAACAGGACTTTTTTACGACACTGTAGCTAACGTTTACCGAACAGCGAGAGGAACTTCGTTTCGACCGGGGTCCATAGACCCTTCACGTTGTCTTTATTTTATTGTACTGTAGAAGAGTCATTCTTCGGCACATAATTATGAGTCAGTTTGATCAGAGTTATACTAACGCCCCATAGTAAACAGGTGTTAAGGAATTCATCATTCATTTATTCATTTGCGAATATGGGTATACATTTATACATGTATACCCATATTCGTACATACGTCCGTATATACGTGTATTGTACATATGGGTATAGATCTTATAAGCTATATAAAATAATTGTTCCTTTGTTTCTTTACTCTGAGTGAGTGAGGAAAGCCAAAACCACCTCTCCCCATGATTATCTGCTAGCCAGGATACAGTATCATTGTGATCGAGCCGTCCCGGTGTGTGGTTTTTTTAGGAAGCTATAGAAATACAGTTTCATTTCGACACGACGCGACATTTAGAAGTAGGTTAAAATTTACTTCCAAAATTTGCTGAAATACAAAATTATTTAGAGTGAAGTTTAAAAAAAAAAGTTTTACAAAACTCGTTTTTGTTAAAGAATTTGTTTAAACTTTGTAGATATATCTACAACTACACTAATTTAAAAACAAATATTAGTTTAAAAAACTAAAAACCACGCTTTTTATAGAAAACCAAACTAAAAAATAGAAAATAAATTTTAATAAAATTTGAAAAAAAGCGTTGGGTGCCTGTTGTCAATAGTAAAAACCACACCGAATTCTGACCGTTTAAAGTCAGTCAAAAACACGCCCAAAGGAGTCAGTTACAAACATACAAACAAACATACAAGTGAAGCTAATATAAAGCGTGTAAAAAGCGTGTTTAAAAATGCATGGTGTAAATTAGAACAAGGTCAGGCTCATAGTGACCAGTTACTGGTGTTAATGAGAACACCCAACAATAATGACATCATATTTTCCAAAATATTCTCCTGGCAACTGAAAAACATACCTATATTATATTACTCCGTCCGCGTGTGTCGGTTATCGCTGTAAATTAAAAAAAAATAGTTAAAAAAAAATAAAAAACACGCTTTTTATAGAAAACCAAACTAAAAAATAGAAAAAAAGCGTTGGGTGCCTGTTGTCAATAGTAAAAAGCAAAAGCTTTTTTTCAAATTTATTAAAATTTATTTTTTGAAACTATTTTTTTTTAAATTAGTGTATTGTCATCGGTCCTCGATATATCTACAAAGTTTGAAAGAATTCTGACCGTTTAAAGTCAGTTTTTCCTTCAAAAACCATCATTCATTCACCAAACTACAGGATCATGCAAGCTGCAGCCAGCTGTTATACTTGGGTTTGACCCTAAATGTTGTGTTTCCAGGTATAATATCGTTGGTGACGGGACCCCAGCAGCTTTATTTCCAATACTGACTGGCAAGAACGAGCTGGAGTTGCCAGACGTCAGGAAGAAGATGAAGAATCAAGGCACGTTGGATGTAATGCCGTTCCTGTTCTACAAGCTCAGGGATATGGGGTAAGGAAACTGGTTTTTATATTGAACTAGATACAGGATAATGGTAAAATCCCCTGGAAACGAAGTCAGACAATAATATTTAAGAAACTTTTGACAGGCCTGTTGGTTAGTGACCCTGACTGCTAAGCTGGAAATCGTGGGTTCGATTTCCACCCAGGACAAATAATTACGTCCACATTAGTTATCCCTGTTTCTCATTTCCACAGCTACCGTACAGCATACTTCGAAGACATGCCGTGGATAGGTACATTCCAGTACCGGTTCAATGGCTTCAAACACCAGCCGGCCGACCACTACCTTCGCGCCTTCTATCTTGAGGAGTCGAAGACATCCAAGTTTCGGATAAGAGAAGGCAATAAATATTGTATAGGAGACACGCCGCAGTTCCAACTTATGTTAAATATTACTGATCAGGTAAGGGACCAGCCATAAACTATGTAACACGAATTTCATGGCATTTTGACCCCCATCACTGTCTTTGTCACACCTTGTCTAGTTGAGGAGTCGACGACATCCAAGTTTTGGGTAAGAGATGGCGACAAGTATTGTATATGATACACGCCGCAATTCAAACTTATGTTTAAATATCACTGATCAGATAATGGATCCATCATAAATTACGTCACAAAAATTTCATGGCATTTTGACCCCCACCACTGTCTTTGTCACACCTTGTCTAGTTGAGGAGTCGATTACATTCAAGTTTTGGGTAGGAGATGGCAATAAATATTGAATAGGAGACACGCCGCAGTTCAAACTTATGTTAAATACTACTGATCAGGTAAGGGACCATCCATAAATCATGTCACACGAATACCATGGTCTTTTAATCTCTTGTCCTTGTAACATTTGTGAGACCCCTAACCAGTGTGACGTCAATCATTTGGCAATTTTACACCAGAAATTATCAAATTAAAACAGCAGTTCCGAAGTTAGTTTTATTTCCAAGAGAGTTGAGTTTGGGTTGAAATACATTGATAATATAACTAAATATAATATAAACATATATTGTGTATATACGTACAACATAGATATATATATATATATATTAATGTCGGAACTTTTCGAATCGAAAAAAGCAAAAAAAAACCTGTAATAATAAAAATAAATTTAAAACTTTAAGTTTTCACTTCTGTCTGCACTCCCGGAGTACCACTGTTTTTTTAAATCAAAGAATGACTGCATGGATGGCTGTGTGTTGTGGGTTCGATCCCCACAAATTGTTCTGCAAAGTCTGAAGGTTCTTTGTGTCCGTTTCATTTATGTTTGTAAAGTCCCCCACGACACGGGATATATTCCTAATGTCTTTTAAAAAATAATTTATTGATTAAAAGGAAACCAATCAACCAACCGACTGGCCTGTTGGTCTAGTGGTTAGTGACCCTGACTGCTATGCAAGAGGTCGTGGGTTCGATTCCCACCCAGGACAAATAATTGTGTGATGAGCACGATCATTTCTTCTGTGTCTGGGTGTAATTTATCTATCTATAATATGTATGTATTTAAATATATATAAGTATGTTTATCAGTAGTCTGGTTACCATAGCACAGGTTCTGCCTAGTTTGGGATCAGACAGCCGTGTGTGAGATGTGTAAAAAAAAATATTGCTATCACTTTCCAGTTCCTGCGGTTGGACGGCAAAAAGTTTATATTTACGTTCATAGCGGATATCACTCACGACAACTTTAATATGATATCAACCGCTGACAACGCCACCGTGAACCTGCTGAAGACCCTCGTGGAGAGACGGGTGCTTGAAGACACGCTAGTCATGATTATGGGGGATCATGGACCTAGGTAATTGTATTTTTAGTTATGGGGCGCTAACTATCCTGACTGCTAAACCAGAGGTCGTGGGTTCGATTCCCACCCAGCACAAATTTCTGTGTCTGTGTGTAGTTTATTTATAGTATATATATATATATACTAGCTGAGACCCGCGGTGTTACCCGCGTTTGTTGTTATAACCGCGGGCAACGCCGCGGGGCGAAGCTAGTCAAAAAAAAAGTAGCCTAAGTTACTCCTTATGTCATCAGCTATCTGCCAGTGAAAGTCCCGTTGAAATCGGTCCAGCGGTACCAGAGATTACCCAGAACAAACAGACAGACAGACAAAAATTGTAAAAAATGTTATTTTGGCATATGTACCGTGTAAACATACATAAGCATTTAGTAAAAAGTGGTTATTTTAATATTACAAACAAACACTCCAATTTTATTTATTTGTATAGATATCCATATTAATGTACAAGTATGTATCAGCTGTCTGGTTACCATAGAACAGGGTCTGTCTAGTTTGGGATCAAACGCTCATGTGTCAAGTTATTATTATCTGAATATTTATTGTTTATAATTAATTAACACATTCGTCTGTTTTTTTTTTGCTTTTGTTATATTAAGTATAAGATTCCTGTACTGTTTCTAAACTTTAAACAGTAAGTACTTATTCAAATTAAATGAAATTTTTGTTAAATATTCATACGAAGAATTCTTTTCAGGTATTAATATGTACATTTTTATTTTGGTATGTTTTTCGAAAACTAATATTAAACTATACCTCGCTAAACAGCAACTAATACTTATTTTCGGCTCCGAATCACACAGTCCCTGTGGCGCAGAGGATAGCGCGTTGGACTTCTAATCCAAAGGTCGTGGGTTCGATCCCCACCAGGGATGCGTTCTCTTTGTTTTGGCTTTTCACATTGTTAGCATATTTTTTTTATATATTTTATTGTTATTTCATTAAATAATAGATTTATATACGTAATCGTAGGTTTTTTTTTTGACAAAGAAAGATTAAATTCTGACAAAAGAAATCCAATTGTTTTCAATCTCGACTGTTTTTATACAATAGAGGGTGAAAGAAAATTCCCTGTAGTACTTCAAATAATTCAAATCATCTTAGTTTCTCAGTTGATCTAAAACCATAAATTACATTTGTCAAAAAATATAAATAAAACAAAAATATAAATGGAATATCAATTATGTTACAATTATACAATAAGTTACAAATAAATTAATTGAATTAAATAATAATTACTTGAAAATAATAATTTCAACAATTTTTTATCGTTGGATCACGCTTGGGATAGTTCAACCGGAGTGATACCACGGACTTACCGAAAACCGGTGTTAAGCAGTTCTTTCGTTGATATTCACCAAATGATTGCCCCCTGAATCTGGTGGGAAGGACTGAAAGCACGGCAACGCAATTGAGACGTGAGTTACAGATGTAGATGGGCGATAGTCACTTTGCCATCAGGTTTGCCTCCCTGGGAGGCCCCAAAAAAAAAACAGTGTCACTCCGGGAGTGCCGACAGAAGTGAACACTGATATACTTATATACAAAAGGTGTCGGTAACGGTAACAGTGTCGCGAGTTCAATGGTTTTCCAATGGTTTAGTTCAATGAGTTTCAATCCCATATCAAAACAAAAATACAGTCTTGTTAATTGTTCAAAAATGTCCAATGCGCCTAAAAAAGTTTTCACCTTAAAATTTAACCATTTTTTTAAATTCTTATATTCGATACAAAATCGCTCCTGTGAACGCCCCAGGAGGCTTCTGCGCTTCTGGAAGGAGCTTGGTTGGCTCACCTAGCTAACCAGCCCTCGACGCATAAAGGATCACTCTTGAGTCTAAATGCGGAAACCAACCAATACAACCAAATTATTCTTACATTGCAGAATCAGAGTTTACAAAAATGTTCAATTTTTTTATTCAATCCTTAGATATGCGAACGTTCGAGACACTTTACAAGGCAAACTCGAGGAGCGGTTACCTCTTATGGGTGTTCTTCTACCAGAGAAGTTGAAGAGGAAACGTCCGAATATACAGGCGGTTCTGGAGGAGAACGCCAACGCGTTGACGACCCCACACGACATACACGCGACGGTACTCGATGTGCTGGACATGAAGGAGCACAATAATCCGTATAAAGTCGAGGGTGCTGATTTGCCACGAGGATTGACTCTGTTGGAACCTGTAAGTTTCTTGTGATGATGATTTGTTAAAAAAAAATATTATGTAGTAAAAAAAAACCGGTCAGGTACGAGTCAAACTCGTGCTCCGAGGGTTCCGTACATACCTAGATTTTATTTAGATTTTCGCGAAAATTTGCTGTACCAAAATTTTTCTTAATTTTTTTTTTTTTTTTGGAATTATTCCTTTATTTGTGCTGTAAGACGTTTCTCTTTGCCAAATTTCGTGATTCTAGGTCAACGGGAACTACCATATAGGTTTTCGACTCAGAACGTATAGGGTACTTCCGGTTGACCTAGAAATGTCAATTTTGGTTAAAAAGCAAGGTCTTACAGCTAAAATAAAGAGAAAATTCTAAAAAATAAAAAAAAGTTAAAAATTAAGGTAAATTTTGGTACTTACAAGTTTTCGCGAAAATCAAAATTTGCCCATATCTTGTTATCGTGTTGACTCAGGACTTTGATTTTTATACACCTAATAGGGACCATAGACCTCAGTATCTGGTATAAATTTCAACTTGCTAGGTCTACCCGTTCCTGAGAAAATCGGTGGTGACACACGGACAGACGGACAAGAAAGTGATCTTATAAGGGTTCCTTTTTTACCTTTTGAGGTACGGAACCCTAAAAATATTCATTCTATAGAACAAGATTTTAATTAATCCCATTTTCAGATCCCACGGAATCGTTCCTGTAGCGAGGCGGGAATCGAACCCCACTGGTGCGCGTGCCTCAACTGGCACAACGTGTCAGAGACTGAGCCGATTTATCGGAAAGCAGTCGACGCCTTCATAGATTATATCAACTCATTAACTGAAGAAGTTAGGTCAGTATTGTAGTATACTGGGTTACGTATGTGATTTGGTAATTTGACAAATCAGAGATTGTTGCTATGGTGTGAGTTGATCTATCGACTTTAGAGTCCACACACAGAATATAATCTATACTAATATAATAAAACTGAAGAGTTTGTTTGTTTGTTTGAACGCGCTAATCTCAGGAACTACTGGTCCGATTTGAAAAATTCTTTCAGTGTTAGATAGCCCATTTATCGAGGAAGGCTATAGGCTATATATCATCACGCTAAGACCAATAGGAGCGGAGCACCAATGAAGAATGTTTCAAAAACGTAGAAATTTATTACTATTGAGAGACGCAGACGAAGTTGCGCCGGTCAGCTAGTATTAAATATATGTGTATGTTTATATAGTGTTATGAAGGACAGTTTACTTATTGGTATAAATAATACTACAAAAAATGATAGTATACGCCGTAACGTTCACATCATCATCACATCAACAGCCTTTAATAGTCCACTGCTGGACATAGGCCTCTCCTTAGAAAGGAGGTTTTGGCCTACTATACCACGCTGGCCAGACGGGATAGTATAGGGTTTGTGTCAAGTTTCCCTTCTTTTTCGGACCAGTAGTTCTCGAGATAAGCGCGTTTACACAAACTCTTCAGTTTTAAAATATTAGCATAGATTTACCAAACTACTATGAACTAAGACAAAAACACTTTATCTTTGCACCTACCGCTTCATACGCTTCATACACTACATCACCTGAAGGTCGACTGGGAGAGAATGCCTCATGGCATTAAGTCCGCCTTTGTACAACATGTGCATTCAGTTTAAAATAAATAAAAGACAATTTCAAATTTTTTTTTATGACAGAAAGATTTTTGAGTTTTAGTTTAGTTGGTACGATTCCGATTTACTGATTTACTGACCTGTGGTGATGGTGACAGTTCTGTTTATATAATAAAGGGGTCAAACTAGACTGATACCACGGTCTCAGTGAGACCGTGGTATCAGTCCAGTTTGACCCCCGTCCGTCTCACAGAAAGCCGTTGCTAAGTTATCGTTATTTTCACAGAGTGAGAGAGGATATTGTAACTATATTCTGCGGGGGCGAGGGTGTGTGGGGGGGGGGGGAGACGCACTTGTAACTCTGACTTGCAGATTGTCTCCTAATACTTTAAAAACCACGAGTTGATCGGTCACCTGATGGTATAATACAATAAAATGTGGTTCAAAAGATGCCAAGTAGATTAAAATAATGAGTACAGGACACATTTGCCTATTAATTATACTTAAATATAATTACGGTTGACTGCACGGATGGCGGAGTGGTTTAAGCGGTCGCCACGCCGCTTCCTACTACGCCGAGTGTTGTGGGTTCGATCCCCACATTCCCATGATTCATTCCCACATTCACAATTTGTTTGATCCACAAATTGTTGTTCTGAGTCTGGGTGTTCTTTATGTCCGTTTCATGTATGTTTGTAAAGTCCCCGGCAACACAGGATATATATATTCCTAATGCGGGAGTTGTCCTTTAAAAATAAAGATAAAAAATAAAATATCATGCAAATATTTAGTTGAAAGGTTGAAATAATAAATACATAAGCAACCAGATACAATTTGCTTTTGTGGTTGGTAATTAACACAATGCAAGGTGACTGATAACCTCCGCCCATAGCCACCTGGGGTTGGGGACAATTGGGGTTTATTCTTCTGTCTTTACACTGGTATTCTGTTAGGTCAGCCTACATGTGACGAAGTGTGACTCTCCAAGTTCATAACGTCCCCAGGTCGGAGTGCATAGTCCGCACGTGGACGGAGACCAAGTGGGTGATGCGTCAGGTGGCAAACAAACGCGTGTTGCTGTTCGCCGGCGCCAAGGACGCTGACGGTTACGTTGGGAACTTCAACGCCAAGGTCAAGTACGAAAGCGAGAACTATCAGATTAAGGTGTGTATGCGTAACTCTTGATATATAACATAATAATATCTCACACACGGCTGTCTGATCCTAAACTAGGCAGAGCCTGTACCATGGTACCCAGGCTGCTGATAAACATACTTTTATTTTAAATACATATTATAGATAAATTACACAAAACGAATGACTGTGCTTATTACACAATATTTTTCCTGGGTGGGAATCAAACCCACGACCTCCGATTTAGCAGTCAGGGTCACTGACCACTAGACCAATGGACACGTCAATTAATAAACATCATGAGCCTATGGCCTGCATTGCTGTATGAAAGGCCTCCCCCCAAGACCGCTGCCAGGCATTTACCTCAAGTAGTCGGTCCATCGTGCCTGAACACTCTACCACCTGTCGTCTCCAGCGGCCATCAGTCCGCCTGGAGACATGACCGGCCCACTTCCTCTTCAGCGTACAGAATCGACGAATAACTTTGTTACGAACTGTATCGGATAGAGAAACACCCAGCATCGCATGTCGATTGATGGAGTAAAGGACAAAACATAGGGTTTAGGGATTTTATACTTACATCCATTTTAATGTCATCAACAGCCTTTAACAGTCCACAGCTGGACATAGGCTTCTCCTTAGAAAGGAGGTTTTGGCCTACTATACCACGCTGGCCAGACGGGTTGGTATAGGGTTTGTGTCAAGTTTTCCTTCTCTCTGCAGTGCTGTTGTCCTGCGTATTTCGCTCCCTTAGTCGGCTCTTACGACACCCACGGGATGAATAGGGGTGGTGACACTCTGTATTCTTAATCCGTCACCACACGGACGGACGGACGGATTTTAGTGTAAAAAGGAAGAAAATATATAAATATTTATTTAACTTTTAATATAAACATGTTATTCACAGGTTGTGGTGGGTCCCGGGCGAGGCGTGTACGAGGCCTCCATGAAATATCTCATCAAAGAGGATAAGTTTATAATCAACACTCGCGATATATCCAGAACTAACGCGTGAGTTTATTTTTTAAACCATAAACTGTTTGTTTATGACTGTTTTTGTCTATGTACCATGTATTAACAAGTGTTAATGTTTGCGACTGCTGTGCTGACGTCACGGGTTCGATTCCCGGGTCGGACCAAATATTCTACAAATAATTGTTTCGGAGTTTGGGTGTTTTCTATGTATAATATGTATGGATTTATAAAAAAAAATATAAGTATTCTATCAGTCAATCTAGTTTTCATAGTACAAGCTCTGCTTAGTTTGAAACTAGATGGCGTTGTGTGTTGGTGCCACCATGGTGCTGAAAAGCATACTTAAGTATTTCTAAACACATACATATTATAGACAAATTTCACCCAGAAACTGAACAAATGATCGGTCACACAATATTTGTCTGGGTGAGAATCGAACCCAAGACTTCCGGCCTAGCAAACACATTCACTAACCACTCGGGCAAATAAAAGTTTTTTGTAATTTTTTCAGGTACGGCGAAGAACCCAGCTGCATCAGCGCCAAGTTACCAATACTGAACCCTTATTGTTATTGCAAAGAGTACATAGTTAAAAACTAATTTATTTAATTAATTATAATGACTGTAAATCAACCACAATGAGTCCGTGGGTTGAATGATCTCTGCTTACATTTATATTAAATGTATATGTGACCATTTGTTAATTTTAATAAAAAAAATATTTAATGATTTTAGAATTATTTGTAACAAAAGTAACAGATTATTACATATACTTACATTGTTAAAAACGATACCTACTTATGACGTTACAGTACTAAAAATACAAACACACACATGCGCACATACAGGTAAACACATATACACACACACACTGCTATGCCCTACCTCGTCTTGATTATAATTGAAGAATTAAAGGAGTGTTTTAAATATTTTAACAAGTATTTTAAATATATTATGTCACTACTATATGTCACTCACATACACAGACAGACACACACATACATACATACATACAAACACACACACACACAAACACACACGCACAGAGACACGATTGAGCTTAAAGAAAACTTATTCAACATTTCGATCACCAGAAATTTTAACAAACTTTTGGTTTTCATATTTTGTGTTATCTTTATCTTTACAAGAATACTTTGTTTGAACAGTCGGGCGATAAGTTACAGGTGTAAAGTCCTGGCAGGTACAGACCTGGAAACGACACACCAGACAAGGATGCCGTGGCAGCTCCTGACAAAGTGCCAAGACATAGCACAGCTAATGTGACTCATGACGTTTTAATACCATATAAAAATCTACACTTAGCGAAAGAAAATAAGCAGTGATTATATCTGTTCATTGTAATATCCACTCTCGTGCTTTGTGACAAAGTAAAAATTTGGTTAAATTAATAACCTTAGGTGAAAATGATTGAAAAACACTAGAGATGCAAGTGAAATTGAGCCTTAGTGACTTCAGCAAAAGTATCTTTTCATGTAAACATCTTGTCTGGAAGTAATCTAAGTATGTTGTACTGTTATTAAATTGTTTATGTACTTAATTGTATTTTAATTGCCTTGAAATTTCTAAAATCAGTTTTTTATATAAAGGATTTAATACATACGCCACCGATTCACAATTGTATTGAGAAATCGATAATCTTTATTAATCTGAATGACTGAAAGTATTTGTCAAACTGATGGTGCATTAAAAGCTAGGTTTTGCGTAAATCACAAATACAACAAAAAAGAAACGGCCAAAGTTTTCAAGTTCTGTATATACTAATTGACGAGATAACTTCCATTGCGCGTTGTAGAATCAGAAGTTACTAGTAGTTCGGTTGGTATTCGTTAGATGGCGCTGATAAGTCGCCACGTAGACAAATGACACAGTGTATGAGACGAAGTTTAATTCCACTAGCTGCCTGTTCAGTCTACTTGAACATAAGTATTTTAAAATTATTTTTAATTAGTAAATTTAATACTATTCTAAATTATTATACCCAACTGTGCAAGAAGAAGGGTTATTGCTTTGTTTTTGTATTAGAATGGTTGACAATAATATTGTAATGCTTAACAAATATGTACTCATAAAATGACATTTTCAAAATCATGATATGAGTAATAAAATCTGATAGAATTGTCTTGTTTTTTTATTTTATAATTACTCCTATATCGATATTTAATGGAAGTCTGGCAATAACCAGTTTGATTTTGGTACCATTTCATTGCGAGTCCTTTCATCATCAACAGCCTGTATTAACCACTGCTGGTCATAGGCCTGTCTTTAGAAAGGAGGTTTTGGCCTACTATACCACGCTGGCCAGACGGGTTGGTATAGGGTTTGTAGTGCCGTTGTCCTACGTAGTTTGCTTCCTTAGCCAGCTCTTACGACACCCACTGGATGAATAGGGGTGGTGATACTGGTGATAGGGGTACTCCGTATTCTTAATCCGTCACAAAGCGGATGCGAGTCCTTTAGAATATTTTCAGTGAATAGCTTATTAAAAAAAAACCGGTCAGTTACGAGTCTAACTCGTACGCCGAGGGTTCCGTACCGATTTAGATTTTACGTAGATTTTCGCAAAAATTTGTAAGTCCCAAAATGTATCTTAGTTTTCAACTTTTTTTTTTGAATTATTCCTTTATTTGTTTCTTACCAAAATTTACCTTAATTTTCAACTTTTTTTAACGGTCAACGGGAACTACCATATAGGTTTTCGACCCAAAACCTATAGGGTACTTTCGGTTGACCTAGAATTGACAATTTTGGGTAAAAGCGATGTCTTACAGCACAAGTGAAGAGAAAATTCTGAAAAAGTTGAGAATTAAGGTAAATTTTGGTACTTACAAGTTTTCGCGAAAATCGAAATTTGGCCATATATTTTTATTGTGTTGACTCAGGACCTTGATTGTTATACACCTTGTACTCGTATCTGGTATAAATTTCAACTTGCTAGGTCTACCCGTTCCTGAGAAAATCGGTGGTGACACACAGACAGACGGACAAGAAAGTGATCTTGTAAGGGTTCCTTTTTTACCTTTTGAGGTACGGAACCCTAAAAAAGAACAAAAAAGTAAATGAGACAACCGTAAATTGGACTGGAAACTTGTGACTGTGTTTTAAAAGCATATTGTTTTTGATGATTGGTTAACTTTTTAAGGTAACAACTTGAATAGTTATTTTATTGATAACACTCGAAATGACCGAACTATCTCACATCTGTTGCACCGAAACTGGAGTTTGTAATTCAACTGGATCAGTTAGGACCAGGCCTGATGGTCGTCATATAAATAAGAAAAACCAACCGTTTGATGAGTAGTTAGAATAGCTAGTGAAAGTAGTAGAAACATTTAATAAAAAAGGCTTACGGTATTTCTAGGACTCGTTTTTAAATCATTTATTTAATTTCACTTCATGCACATTTGGTACCTAGTATTGGAAGTGTAAAAGGCAGTTCCTTCTGTTTGTTGTTAATGATTAAAAGAATAAAACAGTTTTATTTTTAATATTCGTTTATTTACAAAATCGCGATTCTAAGTTTACTAAGTTGTACAGCAAATAATAGACAATATAAAATACGGTAGGTATAGATATATCAAGCTTAGTATCAGTTTTCATAGTTTTCAAAAGAAATATGTTATTAAAAGTGACTGTAGTTGAAGAATATATTTATATCGATAGTATTACTGGCTTGGTAAAAAATATAAGAAAAAATTATAAATATAGAATATTTTGGAAATTAGGTTAGTAGGTAGGTATGTCTTATTAGGTCGTTTTTTCTTAATCAATCTACACTAACTAAGCGTTTTGTACATTAGTCTCGTAAATATGGCTCAATATCCATTAAATATAGCGTGAGTCGTCGTCGTCAAATATAATATAATTGTAAAAAGATTAAAAGAAAAAAAAAACATTAAAAAAAATCAATTTTCAATTTTGACGTTTGCTAGAGTCCCGCCAAAATTAAAGTACAGATAAAATATATCAATTGTCACATCAAGATTCACAGAATATAATAATTTGTCAATTCATATATTCTCTAGAATTGTACCCGATTTTATTACTGTTTCAATTATTTTACGTGTTTGATAGCTCAAACAATAAATTAGGCTTTTAAACATATTCATTTACTTTTTCAGTTTGTAAATTTTAAGAGATCACGTCATTCCAAAACACTAATAATTGATACAATAAGAAAAAATGTTATCTCTAATTACTAACAACGGATTTAAAACACAAAATTCACTTTAAATACTTATTTGATAATTCTATCATTTCTTCTTTAATAAGGACCTCCTTGGTTTTCATAGTTGTAACCACTTTGGCTGTTTCTGCCGTAGCCACCTTGCCCTAATCCGGTATCTTCGTATGAAATTCTGGGCTTGTAACCATTTTCATCAGCTTCATATTTTACAGTCTAAAAAACATAAAATACTCTTAGTCATAGAACATAAAATACTTTTGTCTATTTGCATTGTCTTTGATATTTTATGTATGTATACAAACGTATTAAAAAAAAATAGTTAAAAAAAACAAAAAACACGCTTTTTATAGAATACCAAACTAAAAAATAGAAAATATTTTTTAATAAATTTGAAAAAAAGCGTTGAGTGCCTGTTGTCGATAGTAAAAAGCACCCACGCTTTTTTTCACATTTATTTTTTAGTTTGGTTTTCTATAAAAAGCGTGTTTTTTAACCATTTTTTAAAATTAGTGTATTGTCATCGGTCCTCAATATATCTACAAAGTTTGGACGAATTCTGACCGTTTAAAGTCTGTCAAAATCACGCCCAAAGGAGTCTGTTACAAACAAACATACCAGTGAAGCTAATATAAAGCGTGTAAAAAGTATTTAAGTATGTTTATTCTTGCAGCTCTGTTGAGTTTGGGTACACTTATCGATATAAATGGGCAATATGTAGTAGAATATTCACAATCATAGTTGGTCATGTTACCTGTTTCCTGCCATCAGGTAGAAGCACGTAGTATTGACCCTCGGCCCTATCTCCTTGTCTGGACTCGCGGTGTCCAAAATCATTGCCTGAAGCATCGTCCTTCACCATATACTCAAAGCTGTAGTTAGCCGGCTCCTGTTGAAGATGTTTAGAGAATGTCAGTATCCCAAACTGTGATATCTTGATTCGCACAAAGATTATTCTCGGAAAGGGATTTTTTTCTTATAATATTAAATTGCCATTATGAAAAATGTTATGGGTCACCATAATATATGGCAACCGTTTCCAAGTGTTTATAAATACTCAGCAAAAAATGGTGTGTGTATCGTTTACCTTCCTACCAGGCTAGTCCTAATATACGCTACAAGCTCAGATCAAATTTTACACTAGTACTTTTACACAAGTCCCATCGTAACTTCATATTATATGAAGTTAAGATGGAACTTTGCGAAGAACGAAGTGAATCCGGTATTATAAACATGTGTGCGTGGGCCAGCCGGCCGGTATTTTATTGAAAATATTGTTTTTTACGCTTATATGTAAGCGAAATATGAAATGCGATTCCATCTTACTATCCATCTCTCGTAGTTTGCTTTTTACACCCCCTCAGAACAAAATTCGGCATTTATACTTATTGTTGACATTTTTGATGACGTTTAGACTGACAAGGCGTAGTTTCGTTGTACGTGTGTGCCTGTAATTGTGTATTTTAACGCTAAGCTTTAGTCCTCATTGGCCTCACTTCTTTGTTCACAGAGTACCAGCTTAACTTTATTATTTAATCTGAAGCTACAAGTATGTTCTAGTGCTGGACTAGTTGAGTTTTTAAAATTTGAGAAGAAACCATCACCTCACTAATGGTGATATAGCACAAAAGTACAGCTGCTAAGGGCTAAGTTATACGAAAAAAAATATATTTTCCTTGCCCTCGTAGACGACTGTTCGGTAATAAAAGATTAACATAAGAACTACTTACATTAATGCCTTCATCACCAGCATAACCGCCTGTGCCACCAGACCCAGGAGGCAAGTACTGTCGGCTTTGGCCCTGACCCCCGAGGAATCCACTTTGTGAATGAGTACCTAGGGAAACACAATAATACGTTCATCATCGACACAATTAAATCAAAATTCCCCTATTTCTTTTTAACTCTGCATTACCCAAAGTTGGCATACTTAAGTTGAAATAAATGAGAACTACCTGATCCGCCAAATCCTGGTGCGCCATATTGACTTGATGGGGCAGACGGCACTCCATACTGTGAGCTAGGTATTCCCTGGCCAGGGGCGCCGTACTGAGCTGAGGGCGCGCTGAACTGTGGTTGAGAGGGTGCCCCGTATGTTGAAGAGGGCTGAGGAGGTATGTATTGGTTGCCAGGGCGAGAAGATTGGCGGTTGCTGGAAAATATATTATTTTTATGGACACAGATAGACAGAACTTTAATTGTGTAACCTAAGATAAAATTTAAGTATTAAAATTAAATATAAATAAGACCTACATTTTTCTGGCACTTTACATTTTCTGAGTACTTTAAATGTTTTCCCCTTAAAACCTTATTCATCCCGTGGGTGTCGTAAGAGCCGACTAAGGGAGAAAACTACGGAGAACAACAGCACTACAGACAGAAGGAAAACTTGACACAAACCCTATACTAACCCGTCTGGTCAGCGTGGTATACTAGGCCAAACCCTCCTTTTTAAGAAGAGGCGTATGTCGCGCAGTTGACTATTAAAGGCTGTTGATGGTGATGAAAAAAATATTCGGATTCATCTTGATCGTGCTCATCTCACAATTATTTGTCCTGTGTGGGAATCGAACCCACGACCTCCGGCTTAGCAGTCAGACTCACTAACCACTTGTCCAACAGGCCCGTAAATGACTGTTTAACACACCTTTGTCTACTCTTTCGGGGATTTTGAACTGAGAGTGCGTGTGTTTTTTTTTTATTTACCTACTTATTAAATCTATGGAAAGATTTTTTAATTATTTATTACGGTAAAGAATCGAATTTTAAAGAACCCTAATATTTTTTAACATTAAATTTCTCACCTGAATACAGCATCGGTCTGCTTCTGTACGGGCGCCCCATACGACGTGGAGGGAGGACCTCCGAGACCTCCCTGCTGAGGTGGGAGGTATCTGTTTACTGGGGGCTCGGCTAAACATGCTACTGCTAACGCGCTGATGAGGAAAAACTGGAAGAAGTTAAGTAATTTTCTTGATTTACATTTTAATACCATATACTACAAAAGCACATATATCACCGCTATACGTGTATTTAATCACATTCCCGTAAACATAAAGGCTGTTGATGTGCACATCACATCAGCAGCCTTTATGTTGCAGGTTGCAGTTAAACTACATCACATCACAGATGTGATGTAGTTTAACTGCAACCTATTCTAATATAATACTTCCTTATAAGTGTGACTGTCACAACTATAAAGCATTTAAAACAATAGAGATTTGAATTTCGACATTAGGTTTTCGAATTTTTATAGGTTACTTTTTTGTTTTTTTTTTTGTCAGAGGGCTCAGGCTTAATGGCGACAGTTAACCAGCCAGCTGTTGCTGATATTCCTTAATCTATCTGTAAAAGCAATATCCCTCCTCCTCCTAATCCCCCTACTTCACACCAATGCCTTTTCTTCTCTCCCTCTTCCATATTATAATATATTATTTTTGTACATTGTGCCCGCTTGATGCCAATAGGTTTGCCATTATTTGGACCCCCCTCCCCCCCAAAAGAAATTGTGTACATTTCTTTGGTACGGCTCTGCAGCCTGCACGGCTTGATGGCTTTAAGGTCGTTTGACTCGCCTTAATTACCGTAATTAAGGCGAGTCCAACGACCTTAAAGCCGGATAGTGGCGATGGATACCTATATGAAAATTATAAAATTTCAAATCGTGGCTTCAATCGTGGTTCAAAGCAATGGCTTATAAAATTTTAAGTACATATTTTCACACAGTCGGGATTTGTTTGTTGTTTTTACAATAATTGACGACCGGATGGCGTAGTGGTTGGTGTAACGGACTGCTATCCCAAAGGTCGCGGGTTCGATTCCCGCTCAAGTCAACATTTGTGTGCATGAAAATTTAATGTTTGATTTGGTCTGGGTGTTCCTATGTGTACTATGTACGTATTTACAAAAAAAAAAGTATATATGTATTTATATCAGTTGTCTAGTACCCATAGTACAAGCTCTGCTTAGTTTGGGACTAGATGGCGTTGTGTGAATGTGGTACAATAAAAAAAAAAACATTATTTTCTTTACCTTCATTTTGTTAGATTCTCCGTGTCTCTTGCTCTCTGTGCTCGAAAGTGATTCTGAAACGAAACGTTTTATGTATTTAAATATCGTAGTTAATAGTAACTTTATATCGCCATTTTAAGTAAGTGTTTTCTAAATAGAGTCACTAGTCCTCAATAGAAGGTAGAATTATACGTCGGTGTACGTGTACAAAAAATATCTTTACATTAAAATGTAAATATTACAGAAAGAATGTCAGTAAATGTAATTTTAATACCACTATGATAAAATACGATAAATTCTTAATTTTCACCCATTTCAAACTTGCGTTGTGGCCATGACGTCAAAAAATTCGGTTTCGGATCAAACTTCGGTTAAAAGTATTGATTAGTAAGGGTGAAAAGAAGACTCAACATAATTTTCAAAATTCTGACCAATTGAATTGGACACTTCTATTCAGGTCTTTCTCGAAGCTACGAGCATATCTACCGGACTGTATAATCAGCTCAAGGTAGACATATTCTTAAATAATTTTGAGTGTCAACCCTTCAATTCCCCAGTTACAACTGATGCTCTAATAGTAACCTCCGGTAGGCCGGAGATTCTTCACAGATCTCGCGGGTATCTCGCCTTTTTGGTGACAGGTAGGAAAATAGGACTCAGGAGCCAGGAATATATGGCTGTTAACACTAAAACCACCCCGACGGCCGGGGATAGGTGCTACTACCCGGATCATATGTTTTCAGGTCGCCCCGGATCGCCGCCGCACCTTTTAGTATTTTTTGTGACATAAAGGCAACTTCCACACTATGAATATATCCTGTATCGCGGGGGACTTTACAGACATTAAACACACACAAAGTGTTATCCCATGTGGGACCTCGAACCCATAAGACTCAGCGTAGTAGGAAGCGGCGAGGTGACCGCTTCCTATCCTTCCGCAGCAAATCTCTAAATAGCACTAATAAAAATAATGTTTTTCGATCTTCGTTAGTTAGTTAATTTTTTGGGTTGTCGTTAAAAATGTCCGGGATTACAGTGTTTTGTACTTATTTTAAATTGGTATCAGACGTTAACTGCAATTTGAAATAAACTAGCGCTTTTTTTAATGATTTTCGTCGTCTTGGCTGGTTAGCGACGACCGGCGTCTATTTAGGTTGCAAAAGCAGTTTTTTAGACTTAAGCCCTGTGTAGTAGTGTAGTGGGCCAAAACCTCCTTTCTAAGGACAGGCCTATGTCCAGCAGTGGACTAGTAAAGGCTGTTGATGATGATGATAGATGATCAACAGTTTTTACCGCTATTTTCTAAATAGTTTGTAAAAAAAAAAAATAGAAACATGAAGTTAAATTTTAACGTAATTTTATGGCACCACAGTCTGTCTAGCAAAATTTAAAAAAAACAGTGTCACTCCGGGAGTGCCGACAGAAGTGAAAACTTGAAAATTTAAAAATTCAATAGGATTTTTATTTTGTTTTTTTTCGATTTGAAAAGTTCCGACATGAATATGTATCTATGTTGTACGTATGTATACACAATATATGTTTATATTATATTTAGTTATATTATTAATGTATTTCAACCCAAACTCAGCTTTCGTGTAAACGGGGCCAATTTATGTAGATATTTATATACAGAGGTGTCGGTAACGGTAACGGTGTCACGAGTTCAATGTTCATCTGAAAAAATACATTGTTTTTTTTTGTTGTTCAAAAATGCCCAACGCACCTAAACAAGTTGTCACTTCAAAAGCAGATTAAAAACACAAACAAACCTTCAACAAAACACACTTCACTTCACCCAATAAGACAATAAAAATCCTATTTATTAGGCAATAAAAATCTAGAAGACAATAAAAATCTAAATTATTAACAATTCAAATTTTTAGATCACTTGACGTAGACGGTCGATGATGCCTGAATGATGCTTCGGACTGATTCCCGACTGCTTTTATACCAATAAGTGAGTGATTACTTATTACTTATAATGTGTGTATGTGTGTGTATAGTAATTGAAGGTGTGTGCGTGGGGAATGGCGCATCTGCTTAACGTAAGCGCTCGCTATGTTGCTCCAGTTCAATTTTCTTAAGGTCAAAGAGAGATTAATTTTTTAAAACAGATATATGTTTGATTATAAGATGGTACATGTACAATACTGTGCTTAATTGTATCTTATTAGGGTTTTATAACAAATGTAATAGTAATGTAACTGCCTCGGCGGTGCAGTGATAGCGTATGCGACTGCTGTGTCGAGGTCTAGCGTTCGATTCCTGGATCGGACCAAATGTTTGTATGATCTGCAAATATTTGTTTTGGATTTTGTGTGTTTTCTATGCAGACATGTATGTATTTACAAAAAAAATAGTATTCTATCAGTCACTCCAGCTTTCATAGTACAAGCTCTGCTTAGTTTGATACAAGATGGCGTTGTGTGTAAAGATTAATAATTTGACACATCTCACATGCGGCCGTCTGATCCCAAACTAGGCAAGGACCTGTGCTAAACATACTTTTATATTTCTAAATACATGCATGTTATAAATAAATAACACCCAGACATAGAACAAATCATCGTGCTCTTCACACAATGTCCTGGGTGGGAACCGAACTCACGACCTCTGTCTTAGCATTCAGGGTCTCCAACCACTAGACGGTGGCCGGTGGACGGATTAAGAATACCAGTGGGTGTAACAGTGGGTGTAACACTGCAAAGAGAAGGAAAAATTGACACAACCTCTTTACCACCCCGATAAATCCTCCTTTCTAAAGAGAGGCCTATGTCCAATGGTGGACTATGAAAGGCTGTTGTTGTTGAAAAGGACGATGATTTATTATTTACCTACAAATATTTAACTGGCCTGTTGGTCAAGTGGTTAGCGGTTAGCCGGAGGAAGTGGGTTCGATTACCACGCAGGACAAATAATATTGTGACGATCATTTGTTTTGTGTCTGGGTGTAATTTAATTATCAATAATATGCACTATGACTGCACCGATGGCGTAGTGGTTTAAGCGGTCGTCACGCCGCTTCCTACTGCGCCGAGTGTTGTGGGTTCAAACCCCACATGGGACGACACTTTGTGTGATCCACAAATTGTTGTTCTGAGTCTGGGTGTTCTTTGTGTTCGTTTCATGTATGTTTGTAAAGTCCCCCGCGACACAGGATAATTTAAGGTATAAAGAAATATTTAAGGTATGTTTATCAGCACTCTGGTTACAGTATTGGAAATGTGTGTGATGCTATATCATCAGCACTACTGCTTTTGTCAATATTAAAAATGCCATATGAACTTACAGTACAGTGATGTAAAAAAAATTAAAAGTAGAGCACAGTACCGAGCATCTCAGCTACAATCGCCTAAAACCCATAAATGCAAGTGTATTAAGTTTGCTCTACTTCAATTTGTAAATATCGTAAAACAAGTTTTAAGCGGTAATCACTAAATATACTCGTAATACTTTACGTGTTGGACCTGTTGGTTTAGTGGTTTAGCGATCCTGACTGCTGAACCTGGTCGTGGGTTCGATGCCCACCCAGGACCTTAGAAAAATCTTTGTAATATGTATTATTTTGTTATTTACTACAAGAAAATAGCCGGACATCCGGATATACCCGGATATAGATGTCTCTATTTTGTATGTTGAATCTATTTAACGAGAATGAGATTTGGCACAGAGATAGAATATATTATAATTATAATCTGGAGTAATACATAGGGTACTTTCTTTCAAGGAAAAAATATTGTCAAAATATTATATGTGTATTTCAACATTCACCCTTTATTCATCTTGCATCCTTCATCCTTTACTCTTCATCCCTTAAATTTCATTCTAGATTCATTACTCTTTATTCCTCATCTTTCGTCCTTTAAACTTTCACCCCGCGTCCTTCATTCTGCATCCTTCATCTTTCATAATTCATACTGTCACGTTAACATAACTAGCACGCTACTACTACAGCCTTTAATAGTCTTTTTTGGACTTTTTGCCCTACTATACCACGCTGGCCGGACGGATTGGTATTAGGTTTGTGTCAAGTTTGCCTTCTCTTTGCAGTGCTGTTCTCCTGTGTAATTGATCCCTTAGTTGACACTTACGTCACCCACGGGATGAATAAGGGTGATGACATTCCGTATAGTTAATCCGTTACCACACGGACAAGTCGTGAAGGTAATCCTTCACAATCGGACCCGGATTCTTTGCTCCCGATGTACGAGTATAACCAAACGATGCTTTGGAAAAAATATTTTTATTGCAATATTTATTGCACATATATTTTTAAAAAGCTCAGTTCAGAAACGTTTTAAAAAATCATTAATAGAACATTAATATAAAATTATTAAATCTGTAAAAAAGAGGATTTTAGGAAGAACAGAGTAAATATGGCGACACTAATCAAGCAACTAATCTGTGGAACAAATTGTTGCTTGCGGTATTACTATTACCGGACCGCGACCGAAATGATATCCTTCAAGAACAAAGCTTACTCCTTTCTCTGAGTTGCTGGCGTTTATTAGCGGCGATAGTCGCTTTCCAGCAGCCGACTTGTCTGTTCGTTTGACTCCCATTTCAATTTTTTTTAAAAAAAACCCGCAAGAAGTGTCAGGAAACAGTCTTGTAATAAATTTTTCGGCCTCGCTCCCATCCGCTCAGAGTGTGTGGGAGCGAGGCCGAAAAATTTTTTTTTTTTTTCGCTCAGAGTGTGTTTATTTTATATCTTCCCCATCTAATTCCTCAGTTTACGGCAATAAACTTCCCCTGTGAGATAAGTGGTAATTGTTTTTGTATTTATTTATGACTTCATGCACAAATGTGTACATCGGCGGACTTAATGCCTAAGGCATTCTCTGCCAGTCGACCGATTGGGCGATGCAGAGAAAGAGTGAGGTAGGTGCATTTATGGGGATAAATGATAGAGTTCTTATACAGTACTATTTGTACTTCGAATAGACGTATACAGGCAATGATATATTATTATATTTATTGTATATATTCCAGGATTAACACATTTACATATATATACACACGTACAC